GATATATCACCTCGAGGAAAGGAAACAACAAATTAAAACAGGGGATTACATCAAACTGAAAAGTTTTTACACAGCAAAGGAAACCATCAACCACATGATTAGACAACAAAGTGATTGGGAGAAGATATTCGCCAGTGATACATCTGATAAGGGGTTAATATCCAAAGTTTATAAAGCACTCATACAATTCAACACCAAAAAACCTCAAATGATCCAATTTAAAAATGGGCAGAGGACCTAACAGACATTTCTCCAAAGAAACATACCGATGGCAAATAGATATATGAAAAGATGCTTAACATCACTAATCATTAGAAATGCAAACTACAATCACAATGAGCTATCACCTCACACCTGTCAGAATGACTATCAGCAATAAATCCTCAACAAGTGTTAGCAAGGATGTAGAGAAAAGGGAACCCTCATGATTTGTTAATGGGATAACAAATTGGTGTAGCCAATATGGAAAACAGTATGGAGGTTCCTAAAAAATTTAAAAATGGAACTATGTCATGACCCAACAATTTCACATCTGGGTATTTATTCGAAGAAACCCAAAACACTAATATGAAAAGTATGTGCACCTATATGTTCATTGCAGCATTATTTACAACAACAAAGATATAGAAGCAACCTAACTGCCCATCAATAGATGAGTGGATAAAAAAGAGGTTGTACATACCTACAACAGAATATTACTCAGCTATAAAAATAGTATAAAACTTTACCATTTGCAACAACATGAGTGAACCTAGAGGGCACTGTGTTAAGTGCAATAAGTCAGAGAGAAAAAGACAAATTCCATATGATTTCACTTATATGTGGAATCTAAAGAACAAAATAAACAAACAAAACAAAAACAGACTCATAGATACATTGAACAAACAGAAGATTGCCAAATAGTAAGAGCATTAGAGAGCTGAGGGGAAAAAATGAAGGTATTAAGAAATACAAATTGGTAGATACAGAATAGTCACAGTACAAAAACAGACTCATAGATACATAGAACAAACAGAGGATTGCCAAATAGTAAGGGCATTAGAGAGCTGAGGGAAAAAGATGAAGGTATTAAGAAATACAAATTGGTAGATATGCCCTGGCCAGCATTACTAAGTGGTTAGAGCATCAGCCCTAACTGAAGGGTCATGGGTTCGATTCCCAGTCCCCACTGGGGCATGTGCAGGAGGCAACCAATCAATGTGTTTCTCTCTCTCTCTCTCTCTCTCTTTCTACCTCCCTGCCACTCTCTCTTTAAAAAAATCAATGGAAAAAATATCCTCTGGTGAGTATTAACAAAAAAAGAATAATAACAAATTGGTAGATATAAAATAGTCATAGAGATGTAAAGTATAGAATGGGTAATATAGTCAGTAATGTTGCAATAACTGGTGTCAGATGGGTACTTGAAATATCAGGGGAATCACTTTGCAAAGAATATGATTATCTAACCACTATGCTGTGCACCTAAACTAATATAAAATGATATTATCAATTTTAATTGGAACATTTAAAAAAGACACATGAAAAAAAAGAAACAGAAAACAAACAAACAAACAAAAAAGATCTTTTCGGCCTAAACACAGGAAATAAATTCTCCTTTTATTGGAGAGAGACACAGCAGACTTTGTTCATCTTCCTAGTTAAGGAAGATATGGACTACTTAGGTGGACTTCCACTAGTTCATACACATTGGTCTTGTCAAGTCTACATAAATTTATTGTTTCGTATCTAAAAATTTTTAAAGCTTCCTGCCCTGATCACGTCTTCATATCTTCATTTGCTTGTAAGGGCTTCCATGTACAATAAAAATTTAATAAAATGTGTATACTTTTCTCCTGTTATTTTGTTTTATGTCCATTTTTAAAAATATTTTTATTGATTTCAGAGAGGAAGGGAGAAGGAGAGATAGATATGTCAATGATGAGAGAAAATTATTAATTGGCTGTCTGCTGCATGCCCCCCACCAAGGATCGAGCCCGCAGCCTGGGCATGTGCCCTGACCAGGAATCAAATTGATTCATAGGTCAACACTGGTTCATAGGTCAACACTCAATCCCTGAGCCACATCAGCCAGGCCTTATGTCAGTTTAATTCTTAGGCCTAGACAGTGATCCAAAGAGGATAGAGGAGAATTTTTCTTCCTCTGTATAATATATACCCAGCAAATATTTACTGAAAAAATTGATCTGAAAATCCAACATTTCACACATATATTTATTGATTTCTGAGTCAGATGTTTCTGAATTTCCTTAGTCAATTCATCTAGCTCAATCTATCACAAAATGGCAAGCTATTTATTGAGGCTGTTCTTTGTCTATATAAATATATCCAACCCCAAATTTTAAGAATATGGATTTTTTTTATTTATGATAACTCTATACATGGGGAAACCTAGAGAGGTATTTTCATAGAGTGTTTTCCCTCTAACCTTACCTACACCTGTGCTGCCACAGCCCTTGTCGCTTCCTGTCTGTGATTACAATTCCCCGCCTTGGTCCCTCCAGCAGGTGGATGCATGAAGCAGAGCCTGGGGTTTTGGTACACCTCCTCCTAACACGCCTCTCACTGTGGGCTCACTCAGGGCACAGAAATACACTGCTGAGTCCTCCAGCTGGGAAGCTGAGATGATGAGGTTGGCAGAACTCTTTGCTTTCTGAAAGTTCAGTGAGTAGCGGCCTCCTGTGGCATTTTGCTGGTTGTAAGAGTCCTGGCGAATGAGGAGAATCATCGCCCCACCGCTGAGCTGCTTGTACCAGAATAGACTATAACTTGTAACACTGGTGTCATATGTGCACTCCAGGCTCACAGCCTCCTTCTCCTGCACCAGTATTGCTTGTTGGCCTTGAGTTACCTTCTGGGCAATACTGGACCCTGAGAGAAAAAAAATACAAACAGAAGGTTATGGGATAAGTGATGTGGGACAAAAAGAATATTTTTAACACCAACTTTCTATGTACTGGCTGAGAGTCTCCCCACCCCACACTTTCTTTTGCATTAATAATGGTAACAATTAGACTGAAGATAAACATGGTATAGTTTTATATTAAAAGGAAGATTGATGGCTCTAGCTGGTTTGGCTCAGTGGTTAGAGCATCTGCCTGAGGACTGAAGGTTCCCAGGTTCAATTCCAGTCAAGGGAACGTACCTCGGTTGCAGATTTCCCTGGCCCTGCTTGGGTGCATGCAGGAGGCAACCAATCGATATGTCTCTCTCACATCGATGTTTCTTTCTGTCTCTCCCTCTCCCTTCCATTCTCTTTAAAAATCAATGGAAAAATATCCTCGGGTGAGGAATAACAAAAAAAGAAGGAAGATTGATGATTTGAAATGTTCAACAGTGAGAAATAAAATAAAGTAATTGATATGGTTTTTATTTTCATGACTGGACTCTGACTAATAAGTATGTTCTTTTCTCAATTTAGAAAAGAAAATCACCAGCCTTGTCAGCTATGATAGCAAAAATACGGCTTAAAAAAATCAGGTCCTAATCCCTGGAATCTGTGAACTATGATAGCAAAAATATGGCTTAAAAAAAATCAGGTCCTTGGAGGAGAAACCAAGATGGCGGCATAGGTTA